GTATTTCTCGATTTGAGTTGCATACAACTATATCTGTGGGCAAACATCATAAATTTTTACTCAACAAATTCAAGAGACATAGAATAAGAAGAAATCAATAACATATTTTTTATTACATTGGGATTTATCGCTGAGAAGGACATGAGATAAGCATATAAAAGTAAAAATTTATGGTTGTTATTAGTATTTGGCATTTATAAAATTTAGTTGCACAATGCCTCTGTTTAAGTAGTGTTTCTTTTTTGTGGCTTTAATCTTAAGAAGTATATTGGTGAAAAGCTATAGACTTTGCATAATAGGAATGTCAAATACTAGCTGCTCCTTAAGAAAAATTCACTTTCAATAAGAAATGTTATCTGAGGGAATTTATTACACTGTAGTCAAGATACAATCAAAAACTCCGGTTAAATTATGTCCTAAATACAAAAAATGCTTCTACTATAATTGTATTTGACCATTATATTTTGAGTTTATAAAATTTGATTGGAAGTACTTCCATGAAAACTTTATATTAGTCAAAGACAAGTTTTCACGTACTTGAAGGTATTATCAGATTCAAGCATTTCCAGCATGGATTCGCTCTACGACTTACTTTATATCTTCTACTGTTGTTGCAAGTATCTCTCAACAAATTCTATTTAATGGTATGCTCAGATCTCTCATAAAGCAAAGAATAATCTTCAGCTGCTCCACAGCACCATCTATCAACGAACATTTTCTATCTTTTGACCTAGCGGAAAACTGAGCACACTGTTGTCATTGCAACAGAACGAACAAATTGGTCTTTTCTCGGGACTATGTTGAGGTATGAGAAAGTTGATCACACCATTAGACAGAGCTCCCCAAGCACACAAAACTTTTCAAAGGGGGGTTTAAACGCACAACGAAAGATGAAAAATCGAGAAAAAGTGCGCGTGCTTGTATGGCAATTAGAGTTCCTGATGCGAGCGAAAAACACTCATGTTTCACCCTTCATGTGCGTTTAGCCGCGTTTTAAGCCAAAGAACGCGGGTCAATGCATAAAAAAAAGAGTGGTTGCTTCTGTCATAGCCGTTATCAGTGACAGGATCACAATGAGAGTTCTTGAGTATCAAAAAAAAGCGATCACTTTTTCTTTTTTGTTGCATGCATTTGCACGCGTTTATCGGCTGAGAACGCAATGAAATGCATAAGACGGGCGAGAATGGGCGTTTTTGGCCACAATCGGAAAAGTCGATTATCGTCCAAACACACCCACTTTTTCTTAATTTTTCGTCTTTTTTTGTGCACTGAAACGCGTGTTTCCAAATTCTTGTGTGCTTGGATCTTTGAGAAATACTTGGAACAAAAATGGGAGATCTGGAGTTAGTCACGGAGCGAATCCGAGGCGGAAATACTCGAATCTGGAGATAGTTTCATCTACGTCACACTTTCTCGACTGTTATACAAAAAACAAGTTTGTCAGTAGGATATAAAGACGAATGTTAGAAGAAGTACAGATTACACTTCTATCTTCTGTCCTACAAAACATAGAACATAGTAATTTGAAGAAATTATCATTTTAAAACAAAAAATAATTAGTAGTTTTTCACCAAACTTGTATCGCAATTGTTATACAGCATCCGCTGATCGATTGATTGATTGATTGATTAATCCATGTTGACAATTTCAATGGAATGCTACAATTAATGGCCTGAAGTAACGATGAAGATTTGGCTTTTTCTTACAAAATTTTTAATAAAATTCTATTGTCGAACTAGTCAAATTAATAGAAAAATATCATACATTAACTATATCCTTCTTCTGAAATAGAGAAAATTTCAGAATTTTAACTGCTTTGCTCTGCGAAATTTTTTTTTAACAAGTCTTTGAATAAACTATTTTGATTCCTACAGTTTTAATAAAAAGTATTAGCCAAAAAAACAATGAATGATAGCACAGTTTCTCTTTCTGGGATGAACGTTATGAAAGTAGGAGAAACTGCATTATAATAAATCCAGTTACAAGTATACATAGCAATAATTGGCTTGTAGATATGTTGATTTATTATTCTACACGAACAAAAATGTCATAATTGAAAAATTTGTTGATAAAATTTCTCATAGGAGAAAGTCAAACTGAAATAAAAATTTCAAGCAAAATACAATAACAAAATGATAGACAATCGATAATAAATCTCGTTTTATTACCGCCAGACGATGACAATATCTAACACCAAAAAATGCAAAGAATGTCTTTAATTGCTGATAACAAGAGATGATATCGATACTAAACCTTCTAGACGTTCGAAAGCGCATCTTTTCATATTTATAAAAGATCTTTCTGACTTCTTCAAATTCTGTCACATTGTCAAATATGAACTGGATTTTGCAGATAGTTTTTCATATTCTTTCATCAATGAGTCTTAACAAGAATCGACAACAATTCGCAAACGTTTTAGTTCAGCATGCTCTAGTAATGACTGTCGATTGGCATGTTTCTTATGATGCTTCGTTTATAGTTAATATAGACTCATGATCAAATCGAGTACAGATCTAAGCTGAGAATGTGGATATATATGCATCCTCTGCTAGCACGCACACCCGAATTCAAGATTACATCTAATAAGGTTTCCAATAAAACAGAAGCTAAAGCCGCTTCGGGTAGAGACAATCATTTATTTATCCAAGCCGGCATTCAGACGCTTAAGTTATGAATAAAACAAAGTTATCGAACCTAATATTTGACCTGTAAATTCATACTTTCAGAGCAATCTATTAAATATTGATGAGATCAAAGGAACACGTAATTAAAAGCAGTCTTGTTAAGAGGTACACTAAACTGTCTTTTAAAAGCTTGCAAAATACATAAACTATATGGATAAGTCTATGATTTTTCACGATATTCGATATCAGTTGCAGAACATGAGATCCAAAGCCAATTTAGGGTGGGGTGTGGGTATGGATGTGGATGTGGATGTGGACAGGGAAGAAAAGAAGATTCAGACCCACACCCACACCCTTGGTTTATTTGAAAACAATAGAGTTTTGTTCTTTTTTAAATGAAATATAATTTTGGTTCAATTGTTTTAGATGAAGAAAAAAAAAGATAAAAGTTTATTTTTTCTATTACTTTGTTTCGACACGAAAAGTATTAAGTGTTTGTCAAAAAATCCAATTGATGAACATCCATTCAATTATAATGAATATAATCTATTTGATATTTGTGCTGCATCCTATGTACTAATTTATCGATATGAAATTTAAAAGTGAAATCAAACTTAATTTAAAATAATCTTTAACTCTTGTTTAGTGGAAATTCATTAGTGAAATGTCGATTATCCCATGCAGTATATTTACCGAAATTTAGAGAAGAATTATGTCATGTTACAAAAACAATTGTAATTGGAACAGAATGTCTTGGTCTTAGGATTTTGGTGAATCAATTTTGTTAGAATAAAAAAAAGAACTTTTTTTTTTCAATTCTATTCATTGTTATGAACTTTTAATGGATATAGTTATCATTTTTAAAAATGAACTCATCATTAGAACATTTGTATTTTATTTCAAGATCATTCGAAATTCAACTAAAATTGTTTAATCATCTGAAAAGTAATCGAAATGCATCGTGTTTTTGTCATATAAAAATCTACTGGATACAATTGTTTTTCAAAGATAAATCATAAGGCAAATCTTCTTTAGTTAACACTTTTATAATGAAAATCTGTTTCTAAAACGGAAATTTAGAATCAAAACAATTGTTTGAAATAAATTCACTTCAGTAGACATTAAAATTCGATGGTAATATATAAATAAATAATCTCGATTTATAAAACGATATCAATGCAACTGAGTAGTTCATAATCGTTTAAGAAATTTTATTGATATGAGTTCATTTTCAAAATATAGAAAATATAGTTTAGTTCCTTTTCTTTAATGAACTGTAGCCAGTTTTAATTGTAATAAAAAGAAACTGATGATTGTATTAAATTTACGTGAGAAGAGCTAGTAGGCAACTTTTTTTAGATAAGATTCTTTCAGTTCATTCAATTGTGAGGTGTCACACGCATCTATTCAATATTCATACCGGCAGCTTTTTCTTGCTCAGCTTTACTAAAAATATTAAAATTCAAAACAATTGATTCAAACCGCAATAAACGATGGTTCACACCAAGAAAAAGAAGAATTTCGATTCATTATCGGATTGCCAAAAGTGCTATAAACTAAGAGATAATTAAATGTCGAAGATATACTGTTTACAGATTTCTTCAATATTTAAATCAAAGTAAAAATAAACAATAAGAAATAAATTTTCATTTTAGAAACTAAACTTTATTCTGGTTTTAGTTCATTTTCTATAGATTAAATAAAAACTAAAATGCAAGATAATAATGATGAGAATGATGATTTTTCATTCAATGATTTATTTCTCCAATTGAGGGTGAGTGTGGTTGTTGCTCTCTTCTTACACGCACACTTTCACATCCATTATTAAAATTATGTTGACTGCATGAAGATAAAAAAACATTTTTTAGTTTTTGTTGTTTTCTTGTCTCCAAGGCATTATTTCTCTAGAAAACTTATAGAAATAAATACCGTTTTGAATCATTTTCTTGCAACTTCATGTATTCTATGTACATCGGCAATAGCTGATTCATCAACATTAATAATTGACATATCATTTCATCGAACATTAAATAATTCATCACTTATCTCAGCTATTCGAGAATTTGATGAATTTATTAAACCATCAAGTAATGGTCGAAGTTTAAATGATTTTTCCATCGACATTAAAAGAACAAGTTTCATATAAAGAACATCTAATGACATTAAATACTATGCAACATACATATATTGGTTTTTTTCTTTTCATTCATTTTCAGATAATAATTAACTATGATGACGATAAACGTCCATAGTCATGGATTTCTCAAATATGTGATGCATCATCTGTTCGCCGAAGGAAAATATCTTAGTGACACTGAACATATTGATCATTCTCTATCAGTTAATAATTTAACATTACTATGTCTAATTAGTATTGAATGTTCAGGTGATAATATTGTTCCTCAATCAACTATGGCCATAAATAAATTTACACGAATAGATGAAATTTTTTGTTCATATTTCCCACATATGGCTGATACATGTTTACAATCTGAAGTTGATTAAAATAAACTATTTCGTTCATAGTTAACTATTTTTCAAAATAAAACAGGTGGTTTACCATTAAATGGTTTTTTTGACAAAACCAATACAACATATTATATGTTATCAAATATTAATTGAAAACATTCTTAAACATATACCTAAATTTCATAAACAACGACAATTACATTTACATCGTTCTATAATGAAGGTTAGAAAAAGAATAATTAAAATCTATTATCTATTGAAAAAGAAATTGGACATTAGTGAATAGTCCATTGATTGATTTTGAAAATCTCAGAAGAATCCTTATAACTTAGCAACGAAATCGTCTAGAAAGGTGTTAATTTTCTCTATCAAATAATTATCTTAACAGTTAACATATAATAGGAAAATTTCGAAAAGCATTGCTTCCACAATGGTCACTGGAAATAATCATGCATTAGAGCTCATTGATATTCGGAATGAATAATACTCTAATTTTAAAGTTGTTATCCATCCTGTTTAGGTACCAAATGAAAAAGGATTATTAACATTTTTATTTAATGATTTTCTTTTATTTTCAACTATAAAAACATTATCAAACAATTGGCAATCACAATTATTTGAGCCGAAATCAAGTTTACAATCAAAAAATTCCCGACTAGTAAATTAATTAATTAAACTTTCTATTTTACTCAATTTCTTCTTTATTTTTTAGCCACTATTATTAGCTAATGTTATTGCTGCTAATGAGATACCTAATGATCAATTAAATTTCTTTTTATTAGGACGAAAATTAATGAAAAATTATTACTTTTAAAAACACAATACACTAATATTCGGTATGATAGCAAAAGCAAAACATAAAATCTAGAAGAATATCAAGTAATAGTAAAATTAATTTTAACCAATAAAGCATTGTTTAATATTACAGGTAAAAAATCTAATTTATATTTGATTCAAATGTAAATCGTAAGTATCGTTTTTTTAATTTTTGAAGATTATGAGTATGATTCACAAGCTGATGCTTCATATCTTATTCTTGTTTATATGATATTACTAAAGATATTATTCATATTAATATATTTGATAATAAATTTTTTTACCGAATGTTTTGTTCGAAGTGTTTTTATTTTTTTTTTATCAAGAAAATTGGTTTTGTCCTTTTTTTTTCGTAGAAAATATTGGTCACATATCAATATATCTGGCAGATATTTTGGCATGTTCGCTTGATACATTTCTTACTCAACCATCATAAACATTTACATAAACGATTTATCTAAACAACAGAGATGTCCATCGCGGCTGAAAATCTGCCGCTGCCGCGCCGCGGCCTTAGAAAAAAAAAGCTGCCGCACCGCTGCCGCGCCGCGGCGGTTTATAAAAAAATGTTGCCGCGACGCTGCCGCACCGCGATGACTTATAAAAGAAACGCTGCCGCGCCGCTGCCGCGATGAGTTATAAAATAAACGTGCCGCCACCGCGCCGCTGCCGCGACGATTTTCAAAAAAGTGTTTCTAATTTCACTGCTGTGACTATATTTGACCAGAGATATGGGTACCAGTCCATCAGATTTATTCAATATCAGGGCGTTTCATTTGTAAATCGTGAAATTCTATTAAATTCATACAGTTTTTCAATGTCCTCCAAAAAAATCCTGCCGCTGCCGCGCCGCTGCCGCGATGGTTTTTTAAAAAACCTGCCGCTACCGCGCCGCTGCCGCGATGACTTTTAAAAAAATCTGCCGCTACCGCGCCGCTGCCGCGGTGATTTTTTTTAAAAACCTGCCGCTGCCGCGCCGCCACCGCCACCGCGGCAGCGGCAGCGGCAGCGCCGCGATGGACATCTCTGCTAAACAATGAACCATCGGTAATCATGATATTTACTATAGACTTTTTATTATAATATAAACAGAAATCATCCAGATCACTTTTTACAATGTTCGTTTTCTTTTTATTTCTATTTTTTCTTCGTATCTCTTACTCATTTGTGCAATTGAATTGTTTTACTTCTAATTCACTCTAAACATGAAATCTTCTCACATTTTCACTTAAATTATTCGTATAATCGATGATTTCTCACCGTCTTTCCATATTGTTATTTGTGATTCGATCTACATCAATCTGTCTTTCTGGCATGATCTTCTTCTGCATACACCATACAAATACAGCTCAAGATATTTTCATAGATAAATAAACGACAATAAGCATTTTCAAGGGGATTTCTTAATATTTACCGAAAAGAGATTGTCCCAATTATAGTGATCATCAGTCTAAAATCAATCTCAACTCATTGTCACATTAAAGACAATAATAATGCACTCTATTTCCTTTTCCATTGTACAGAGTATGTTGCTCCAGCAGATTGGTATTGTCAACAACCCCTACAATTTCGCTCATCAAAAAGTATATGTAATAATGGATATGATGATTTTATTGAAGGAATAGTCATATTATTAGCTGCATCTCAACGTTTAAATGATTCACTTCATGGTGAAGATGATGTTTTCGTTCAGATATGAAATTAATAGTTGATCATGAAAACCATCCATTATGGATTATACCACATGGTCATATTTTTTTTCTTTAATCATTTTCATCAGCTTATAAACAAGCTCATGTTTGTATAATAACTGTTGCTGATCCTATTAGTCGATCAGAATATATACAAGAACATAAATTATCAGTATATTCACTCAATGCTGTTGTATCGATTAGTATACAAACCAATCATATTATTGAATCTATTAAAATATGTACATTAGGTTATGGAAAAGTAAAATTAGTATTAAAATATAATTGATATTTTATTGAAAGTTATTTTCCTAATGTTTTAAAAACTCTTCTACAAGATTCACAAATTCAAAAATATCGAACAATAACAATAGAGAATATTTTTAATATAAATACAATAACAGAAAAAGTTTAAGATTTCATTTGTAAAATAATATTTACAAAAAGAAACAAAACAGTAAATGACCAAATATCTAATAATATTCGATATTTATATGAAAGAATTAATCATGATAATGAAGATTTTAAAAAAAGTCTCATTTGAAATTTTTTCAATAAAATTAAACGTTTATGTAAACGATGTCAACAATTCGAATATTCATTACTTGATGAATATGATTTCAATTGTAATAGAATATTTAAAAGTTTGAACAGTGAACTTCGATCAAGTTTAAGAAATATGTGTTCTATCATGTGGTTCTGGTAAATCTTTAATTGGTGTTACGGCTGCTTGTACAATAAATAAAAGAAACCAATTGGATAGAATTACAAAATTTAGATCATATTGCTAAAGTTAAATGTGGTGAAGAATGATGTTGAACAACACTAGAATTTTAAAAAAAAATATTTATCAATTAAAAATAATCTATATCGACGTTTACTTTTATGTGTGATAAATCTAAATAAGTTTTCGTACATGTCAATATTTAATATGTTATCCTGAACAAAGTGATAATAAAATAATTGATTTTTTTCTCATATTATGTTCGTCTTAAACACTTATGCAAATATTGCATGATCTTCAACATGATACAAATATAAAAACAATTATTCTTTCCAAAGTTGCTGATACATCATTTAATTTATCATGCTGCTAATGTATTAACACAAAATTTCAACTCATGAAGGATCAATAAGACAATAATTAGAATGATCATATTTAAGAACAAAATAGTTTTTTTATTCACTTGTTTCTCAAGATACTGTTCAAAATGTTTTATTCAGTTACGTGACAAAGTTTTCCTATTAATCAAGGTTATTCATATAAAGTCATACCAGGAAAAACAGATCTACATGAATATAAAGAAAAAATTCATCAAACACATCGTACTATCGATGACTTCTATTCTAGAGTGTGTTAAAACATCAAATAAAGTGAAATATGAACTCTTTAAAAAATATTGAGAAAAATTTTCCTAATGTACATTATTTGGGGTGGTACTTTATTTTTACTTAATGAAATAAAGGTAAATAAATCCTTTACTTTTAAGAATAAAGATGAACGACTCATTTATCTTAAAAAAATAAAGACAAATTAAAGGAATAAACGATTTTTCTTTTTTGAGAGATAATGATGTTGGACGAGTTCTACGACCAGAGAATTCATGTTTAGAAAGACTTTTATCATAAAATAAATGTATTTATACCAAAAACAAGTTAGTTGAGACATACTATGGTGTACTGTTTTTTCTTCAATATTTAGCAGACTTCGATTAGAAAAGTGAAGATTGAACCAACACTAATATCATATTCTGAATCAGCATTAAAAATGGAGTTGACCCATATATATTTCAAAAGTTTTTAAGATTTTTTTTTTCATCGAAAAATTTTCCAGTACTCCCCCTCAGGATGATTAAGTCAAAAAATGAATTTTACCCAAAATTAGTTTTCGCAATGGTAAACAAGCTCTCTAATTGTCAAATGATAATACAATACAAAATGAGCAATATTTCGACGAGAAAAACATCGTTTTCATGGGTTTCATTTTTGCAACTCGACCATCCTGAGAAGGGAGGATACAAGAAAATTTTTCGATGAAAAAAAAGATCTTAAAAATTTTTGAAATATTCATAGATCAGTTCCATTTTTAATGCTGATTCATAATATGATATTTGCTTTGATTCAGTCTTCACTTTTCTACTGAAGTCTGCTAAATATTGAAGAAAAAACAGTAAATCATAGTATGTCTCAACTAGCTTGTTTTCGGTATAAATACATTTATTTTATGATAAAAATCTTTCAGAACATGAATCTTTATTTTCTAAAAATAACGAATTCGTTTATTTATGTCACTCCTATACATTATTGTAGTAAAAAAACAAAGACATCAACTTTATGTTGAATTTTTATTTCTCTTTGCGAAAAATATAGCGAAAATTCTAGAATATACACTTTCGTTAGCATCATTTTTTTCTAAATATTGGAATGTTGCTCTGATAGGCTAGTGTCGTCACCAAGCCACATTTTCAGTTGAGATAAGCTACACACACAAAATTACCATTGCGTTAAAATTGCACAAATCCTCTAAAAAAACATACGCGCTTGTATATTTCATCGTTCGATAAAAAAAAATGAAAGTAAATATGTAATGATTATTCTGATTTTAGTATGAAATGAGTCGAGTCATACGACGAATAATAAGATATTAAAAATAAAATAAATAAGCACCGAGTAGCTTGGATTTTTCTTTTTGTCAAATTATACTGCCGAAATTGAATGGTACCCAATTCATAATAAATAAATGAAGAAAATCTAACAAATTCTATTTTTTCTTTTTTATTGTCAAAATCAAAAGTTGAATAAATGTCGTTTTGTGGTTTAAAAGAATTTTCTTAATACAATTTTTTATTAAAAATCAACGGATTAACAAGAATAGTGTTTTTTTTTATTCTTATGAATAATATAAAATTTGTTACATCGAATTTCTTTGAGTCTGTAATAGGATTATTCATGATTATTTTAAGCACATGTGTAATAAGCCTTTGCAGAGCGTGTTTGCTTTACTTTTGACAACTTAGTATCTGTTTTCTTAGATACTGGTTAATTCGGAGTACTGTTGTCTTTTCTCCAAATGCAATATCATCAGTTATTGTTAGAATTTTTTTAATTAATTTATATTCATTTAATTTCCTTTGAAATTTTTTGTTTTTAATAATGTTTGTCTCCGTATGTAATAACAAACAAAAACAATTTATCAGCAAAATATCAAAACCAAACAAAGAAAGATTTTTAAAGTGTTTGTTTTTTGTCTTATTGTGTGATAGCGAGATAGAATAATAATAAAAAGATATCATCTTTGAAAAAATTAGATGACTTGCATGTTAATCGCGAATTTCATTCTTGAAAATAAATATATCGATCGTTGAAAAAATATGGACCCTCTTAGACATAGATAAAATCAGATCAATAAAACAGATGATACAAGGATGTTTATTACGCCAAGTTCCTTCAGAACATAACTTGCATTTAGTGAAAAACAATTTTTTTAAATATAATTAGTTTAGTGTTACAAAACAATAGGAATATACTATTCTTTCAGTGAAATTTAATTTGTTTCTGTTTTTTCACCTGATGTTTTCATCTTTCTGCTGTATATACGATTGATATGTATGAGCTAGTTTTAATATGGCATAAGCAACTGTGTGAGGAAAAACGATAAGAATAACTATGATATTGGTACAAATCATCAAATGCTTTTCAGGATTGTAGAATACAAATCCCATTAGAAAAACTTTGAAAATATTTCAAATACGTTACTGCATTTATATTTTTAGTATTTGATGTTTATTTCAACTACCATTGTGTTACATAATTCTAAAATGTTTTGCTTCTCTTGAGTCCTATTTCTTCTTGAGTTCTTCTTCTGTTTCTCTCATTTGAGTCAGTAGCATTTATAAAAAGAGTCTGTTTTAGACATTATTATATAGATTAATTTATGTTCGAATTAAATTTCATCTTTAAATGTATTTTTTGGTAATTTGGCAATTTATTCTGAAAATGGACAATGATCGAGATTTTTCTTATAAAATTTGTTTCTTGCTAAGAAAAAAAGCCAGTCAATGTTCATTATCAAGCAGGCAAGGACCTTCACAGTTGTTCGGTCTGCGATCATATACGTATGTTACATAACACATGTAGTATTTTTATTTGCTGCTTTTTTTTTCTTTTAGAATAGATTGTGACTGAATTAAAACAATCGATGATCAAATAATAGTTCAGATCATAATTCTTAGTCTCTAATTCAGGCTACAACATGAACGATAAAATTTACGATTAGCTAATAGCAAGCAGTAGAAACGTTTTTACATATCATATGACTTTGAATGGATCTTTTTCATTTATTGAATTATTCTTTCAGAAATATATAATTCTAGATATTTTTGTGTATTTTGCAAAATTAAAAGATTTAATGATTAAGTATGTCCATTTCATTTCACGTTTTCTGATTAGAATTTATGATAATAGGATTTAATAAGAGTTGGCTATTTTTTCTTCTTTGTTGTACAGCCTATTTATGTGGGTGTGGGTGTGTGGGTGTGTGGATGTGGATGTGGGTGTGGGGTGTGGGTGTAGGCGTGGGTGTGGGTGTGAGTGTGGATGTGCGTTTATCCTTCCTTTATTCACATCCATACCCACACCCACACCCACACCCACCCACATCCACACCCGCCCACACCCACCCACATCCACACCCACACCCACCCACACCCACCCACACCCACACGGACACACACACCCCACCCTTCTCACCCCTACATTCAAACCCGCGCCCACTTCCCATATCCCCCACCCCCACACTTCACACACCAAAACAATGTGATTTCATAATGAATGTATCTTTAAAACCTTTTCTAAACAACCTATGTCTTTTTCTTTTCTTTCTTCATCCAATAGGCTTTTTTTCCATCCGTGTAAGAGAACAGAAAAAATATTACTAATACCAAAAAAAACTTGTACGCATTTATTATCGTGCAAAAAAAAAAATCATTGACATATTCAGCTTAAGGTCGACATATACCTATATATAGATTCTTATAGAATCAACAACAAATTATATTCGATGATACGACCATGTTTTTTATTCACGTATGTAGTAAAAATCTCTATTCTGATACAAAAAATCCAAGGTAAAACTGAATATGATACATACTTTCATGTATTTTCAAAAGAAAATATCGATAAACCTATATCAATACTATGGACAAATAATAAGAAATGGTCACAAGAAAAATCATTTAAAGATTGTTCAATTAAATTAATAGCTCATGGTTATGCTGAACGATGGAATATGGATTGGAGATGGGATTGGGTTAAAGAAATAAAAGATGAATTACTTAGTTCTAAAACAAAGGAAAATCTTTGTGTTATTGCTATCGATTGGGAAAAAGGTGCTCGAGAAATTAATTTTATTACAGCTGTTGGTAATGCTGATATAGCTGGACAACATGTAGCAGAATTTATTCAAAATAATAATATTGATCCTAAACTTTTACATTGTATTGGATTTAGGTAAGAAATTATGTAAAGCACGAATTGAAAAGGAGCGTTGAAGTGTATAGGGTAGAAATTTTGAACTTCTCTTCTCACACCCACAGGCCGTTACAGACATTTTAATTAATTAATTCACTAACGAGGGAACATTTTCAACTGTCCAATCCCTTTTCAGTTCGGACTTT